AAGCCATGTTGGGCAGCGCTTTAACGTTGCCAGTGTAGACTAGCCCGCGTGGGCTAGGTCAGCTTAATTATGTCACTCGGGTGTATTTTTGATACCCCGAGTGAGACAGTTGGATTGATCTAGTTTTCTAGTGTAGACCAGCCCTGAGAAAGCGAAAGAGCCCGAAGAAGCAGCTGGTATAGTAGTTGACCCTGGAAGAAACTTGGGAAAAGGTTTTTGGGTCAGGAGTGCAGGCTGAAAAGAGTGTGCTTGGTGCTGTGAGCAAAAGAAGTTGTTTCCTGTTATTTGAGCCATTCTCAGTTCAGAGACACAGGACTTTGTATAGTATTTGTAAATAAACAAAACTGCATCTAAGAAATACCTGTTACCAGTTTCTGCTCCCTACAGGAACACCCACAGGCTGCTCAGGTTGAAAAGAGATCACAGACCCCATCTCTTTCCCCAGTTCTTGCCTAAAAAACAAACTGAAACGGCGGGCTCAGTTACTAAAATCCACAATCTTTGTTGTCTCCACACTCCACTTATTCCTAAAATCTTCAATACAGAACTAGTGGCAGAGTGCAATGGCCAGGAATGTAATTGTCAGTTCTCAGGGACTGCTGAGATCCACAACTATGAGCTACTCAACCCCAAGAGATTTTGTCATGAAACTCTTTTTGGAATTCCCCGTACTACCAGCAAGGTTGGTTGCTCCCATCTATTCTCCTGTAACCTCCTGGTTCACAGAGCACATAGTGAAAGCTAATACAGCTCTAATTTTAAGGTGTTTTTCATGTGTAACTAAATCCAGCCAGGAAGGGAACATGCCATGAGGAGCAGCACTTCCACGCCTCTGCCTTTCTCCTCTTGAACCCACTGTGCTTGTCCATGCTTTCCAGCAGCACAGAAATGAGCTGGCATGCTTTGTGCTGCAAAAAGGAAGCTGCGCCATGGGGGATGCCTCTCTCCTGCATATAGTTCTTTGAATACACTTTCCCCACACATTTACTTCCCTCTCTTACACACATCAGAAGGAAGTGTATGGCATTTAATTGTGGCATTTTGAGTAATAAGACTGAGTACCACCAAATATTCTACACATGCTTTTGAGAATGCTACATGGAGCTGTTCACTAAAGGTCTGATTTAGCCACTGTTATTCATATGGAATGGTATTCACCCAGTAGTAGTCCTATTCATTTTAATGCATGTCAGTAAGGTTAGCAGAATCAGCGCCTTAATAGCTAACAGGTACAATTCAGGGGTACCAGGGTAAATCTTCCACTTTAGGCCTAACCTGTCTCTAATAATCTATGAACCAAAGCTGTCATGTTGTTGTGCTCATTCAAAAGAAAACCCCTGGAGCTTTTTTATATTTTCCTTCTACATTTTGTTGCCTAAGAAACTCTGACTTAAATCTAATCTGTATCACAGTTTGGTACCTTCAAGTAGGGAATACATGAGGTGTGATAGAAAAGGAATATGATGAGTGATAAATTGACCCCCCCCCTCTCTAAAAACCATCAAAAAAAAGACAGTGGTTAGTTTATGATTTTCACTTTGTTGTGTGTAGCTAGTACTAGTAATTTAGAATTTCAAAAAAATGGCAAGCTATGAGTCAGCATCATTCTTAAATAATTCACAGTGAATTATGAACAAGAGCCAAGTCCAAATAATATTCTAATCACTAGTATGGACCCTAGTCAAGATAATATCACCCCCTTCATGGCTTTAAATCTCAAAGTTTATGTTGAGCGATTTCAATGAAACAAAAGCACAGAAGCCTTCAGGAAAGCAGAATAGTTGTAGGGAAGTACAAAAAATGTGCATGGAATTGCTGAACACTGCTTAAATGTAAAAATCCTGTAAAAATTGACTTATGGTTAGCTAAATGCGGACGGGAAGTTCAATGGCACTTTTAGTGACTAAGGGCCCCCAATAACAGTAGTGCTGTGTCCATATCAGGACATTCTCAGGCATCATATGTCTGGCATCAGGGCAATGAGTCCAGTATCATGTGCCCTCCCCCCTTTTTTTTTAATATACAATAGCTAGTTAGAGGTTGGCATAGGGGAAATAATTATTGTTGGAAGGATTTTGTCAGCCACTCTCCTATGGCAAACTCGAAGAAGTTATTATACAAAATAAAGGGAGCTGGGGGCAGGAGAGGAATGATGTGACGCATATTATGCAAAATAAGCATCCTCACCTTCTTGTTCTGTTTTCCAATCTCTCTCTTTCCCTGAGTAGATCTCTTTTTGTGTCATGATAAATCATGCCATATGCAGCCTGCATCTATGTGCCTTGGATGAAGGGACTAAATATTCAGTCTCTTTGGAAAGTACCATGCACATCTATGCTGCTATACACATATTTATTAATAGCAGCAGCTGCACAGGTACCAGGTGTCAAGGATCAGACACAGGTGTTGTATCTGAACTCCCTCAATGCTGTACCTGTCAGGTATTTATTTATTTCATTCCTGACTTCCAACTCATTTTTCCCCATGTAAATGAACTAATTTCATAGGATAAGTTTTGTCTGTGAATTTAAGATCTCCTGCTGGAGGGTGGAACCTTATTACACACTATTTCAAAGGGAAATTCCCTTCTGACCTAGGAGTGTTGAAACTGTCATGAGACTATAATTTGTATATTTTTTGTTAAGGGAATGAGAAGGTGGGTTTTGCTGTGGTAGATGCAACATGCCTCCTAATCTCCCTAAAAAACGATGGTAAACATCCTTTAACACTAAATGTGAAAAAAAACTATAGGCATCATAGGACTTCTTAGTACCTTCCAAGTCATTGCAAGCTCAGCATCAGCCATCGGATGCTTCTAAGCACAGTAAATTCTGAAATTAATAAAGAAACCTCTCCTTTCCCTGCTTAACCAATACATGCACAACAAAGTCCCTCAACAATTTCAGTGCTCATAGCCCTCTGCAGTGTTCACTGTACTTGATTTCTTTATTTAAGCATTCTAAAGTATTCTTTAGATACAATAATTCCCTAAGTGAGGGGAAAAAGAAAACTCACCTTCTCCCTGCAGAAGTTTGAGTCATCATCAGAAAAGGGGAGTTGTAATTAGCTATTCCTCCAGAGTGCATCTTTCCACATTTAATAGTCACACAAATACTGCATATCAAAATACAACATTTGCACTTGCACATAACACAGACAGCTAAATGGCTGTGAGGATACATGTTCTGTTTATTTAAATCTGTACCAAGAAGCCAGGCAGGAGGGTTTGGGGAAGGTTCTATTGAGGCAGAATAACTTATTGGATAATATTGCTTCCCTAATTACTAATCAAGTTCTTCAGTGTTAGAAGAATGCAGCTATTTCTGGGATTCTTTATGAGTGACACATGACAAAAGTGGTACACATTTCTGGCACAGAAATATTCTTTGCCATATTACTCAACACCCTGGTCAGAATTTGCAAATATAGGAGCCTAAAGACAGGCTCCTATATCCTGATCTAGGCTCCTAAGTAAGTGGATTGATTTTCAAAAGTGCTTCTAGTTAACTTCTATGGGAACTGCTGGGTGCTCAGCATTTTTTGAAAAAAATCAGTCCACTTACATAGAAGTCTATGGCAAGATCTACACAACCACTTACTTTGGTATAACTTACATCGCTCAGGGATGTGAATAATACACCCCCCTTAGCAATATAATTTATACCAACCTAAATGCCGGTGTGGACAGCAGTATGTCGGCTGGAGAGCTTCTCCTGCCGACCTAGCTACTGCCTTTCATGGAAGTGGATTTATGATGCTGATGGGAGTGAGATCTCCTATCGGCATAGAGGGTTTTCACCAGACATGGTACAGCTGTGCTGATGTTGTGCTTCTAGTGTAGATTAGCCCTAAATTAAGATTCAGAAACCTAAATTTAGGTCACTATTTTTGGAAATCTTGGCCTTACTTTCCCCCTTTAACTAGTCCTACCTTCCAATGAGAGCCCCTGCAGCAAGCTCACAGAAAGGCCTTAATCAGTCTTATTTACTTTGTGGGGCTCTAAGGGATTTGAGAGAAATAACAATCATACTGACCAATTAAATTCTATCAATCAGAGTTGGATACACTTACTCATAGCTTATTCTGGAAGCAGTCCCTTGAACGTCAGTGTGATTTATCAGAGATACTACCCAACGTTAGTAAGGGGATCAAAATCTGCCTCCTGGCTCTGGTGAGTGACCCCTGAAATTTGACATCTCAGGAGGTTCTAAAATGGACAGCGTGCTACCAAAAAAAGAGAAGGTGGCCAAAATGTCAGTTATTGCTAGTGTGCATTTTAACATTCACAATTACTGTTCTATTATTTCCAACCAAACTAAATTGCCAGTAAAGAGGCATTCCCAACTGTCTAACTATTTATCTTTTCCATTCAGCACAGGTTAATGTGATGACAGTTTTTATACCCAAAATTAAACAAGAAAAAAAAAGTTTGGATCACACCATTTTGATTACAAATTATAAATCTACTCTAGGATATGTAACTTTTATTGAATATGATATTTAAGAAGACAATTGATTTTAAGTGAAGTATAGAGAATAGGATTTCATTATCTCATTTAGTACAAATAAGGTATTTTCAACTCAAATCTTAAAAGGGACATTGGGACACAACTGAGATAAGACCTAAGTTTGACCCACACTGAAAATAATGCCATCCGGTACTTCTCACCTATAGAAATCTAACTCCGTATATTTTTCCATTATATTTCCTCCTGATCATTTCTGCCACTGAAAATATATTTTCAACAAAAGTAGACACTTGACTTTTTTGGTAAGCCTTCATATTTAGCAAGTTGTTGGAACTATACAGGGTCTGATTTTTCCATTGCCCTGCACCTTGTATATTCATTAACACAAGTGCAAACTGGGTGTATAACACTAGCAAGTGAAAATAATAGCATTTTATATCAGCTGTGCACTAATTTTGTATAGCGTAAATGACTACACAAGATGCAGACCACCAGAGAATCATGCTTATGCTCCTTTTTTATAATGAGGTTATACTTACCTAGCAGGGGAGATACCATGATCACAAAGGTGGTTTTCCCAGGGTGAGGCTTATCCATTGCACGTCGGGGGGGGGGGGGAGGAGATAGCTCAGTGGTTTGAGCATTGGCTTGCTAAACCCAGGGTTGTGAGTTTAATCCTTGAGGAGGCCACTTAGAGATCTGAAGCAAAAATCGGTACTTGGTCCTGCTAGTGAAGGCACAGGGCTGAACTCAATGACCTTTCAAGGTCCCTTCCAGTTCTATGAGATAGGGATATCTCCATATATTATTATTTTATTAATGTACTGGTTTGACAGAATATAAGTATGACTGAAACATTATACAATAAAAAGTTTCAAAATAAAACACGTGCAGTGTCATCTGAAAGCAGAAGTTTCCAGATGGAGCCTAGTATGAAGGTAGGGGCATGAGCAGCAAGTTCTATGGGCACCACAGACCTGGCACCAGCACTTCTGTAATCAGTGTTTCTGTGCTGATATCATGCCTAGAGTGACATATTCAGTATTATGATGATTTACATCAAAGACACTGCTACAATTAATGATTTCTTTCTACTAAGTTTTCATGTGGACCCTCCATACAGAAGAGCTATATATTTGTAAATTCTTCACATATCATCACTCTTTTCTTTTGAGTCAAGGGCCTACTCAAAATATGAAATTTCTGCTTAACTGTTGAATACTTTAGTTGATTTGTGCCTGATTAAGTAGAAAAGTAGAGTGGAAAACTGTGGATTTCTCATTAATGTTAAATGTTTCATAAATTTTCCTTAATCTTTATACTTCAAGATTTTAAACTATTTGTCTCTACTGTAACTGAGTTTGCTGAAAACAAACAAAAAAAAGGATCCTTATAAAGGAATTAGGCAGGTGGAGAATACAGTCTTTCCATTTGAACTACAGCAGCATATGTTTAAAAATAAATAAATTCAGTTCATTTCTTAGTATCTAACAGGATCACCAAGAAACCAAACCGCAAATTCACATCTAGAGAAATAGCCAGCTAAATGCAGGGGAAACTCACTGCTCATTGTGGAAAGCTTGAGTAAGCTAGGTCTTTATTGGGAATAGTGGGAAATAAGAAGTGGATGGAGGGAGATGGAATTCAATTCATAACCATAGGGAGGCTATGGGGGTGCAATTCCAACCTGGCAATTTAGCTGCAGGATAGGCAGATCCAGTGGCCAAGAACTCCTATCTCCATCTCTGGCCTGTCCTAAACAGAAGAATCCATAGGAGACTTTATCATCACCACACACATTGTTCCAAGAAAGATCTGTAGGTCAAAGGAGACAGTGCATAAGTCTGCTGCTGGTCAAAATGCATGTGCATTATAATGTTGCTTTTTGGAAGGTTGAGTGTGTGAATGAGCTTGTTTGACAATTTTGCCTTATTGCTAAAACTGTGTTTTAACTTTATATGATCTGAAACCTCAGCACAGTACTCAGGTAGTCCTAAACCACAAGCGTCAGTGCCAGACATGGAAGGGAGAAAAGCAAAATGTCCACAAAATCCTGTGAGAACTTGTGTTAATTTCTATGCACAAGAGTTACATTATCCAGGACATTTTTATTGTTTATTGCAAGATCTCGGAACCAGATATTTTAAGGATGCACAATACCTTTAAAAATGCTACTGTTATGAGGATTGAGAGAAAATAAACACTCAAATAAATTGTGATACAAAACCAACTTTGAACTTCAAACTATAAATATCTGCATTGGCAATGGAAGGCATCAATAGCATGAGCTCTGCTTGGGACTGACTACTGGACAAGACAGCAATGAAACAAGACAGGCTATTACACAGGCACTCTCTGCTCTACACCAATGTCCAGATCCACATATTTGTGATCCACTTATTTGTCTTTACAGATCTTAGCAGGCTGAGGATACCTAACTTAGAGGCTGTTTTTCTACTTCCTTGACCCTCACTCTCATATATATCAACAGGCACATGGTAGCTTGCTAATCACAGAATAATATACAGTAGTTGTCATTAAAATCTTTAATTATGGTAAAGTGGCTGCAATAATCACAATATTATTGTAAATACCAGAGTAATATTAACTAGGTAAAAGGCAATGTGTAAAAGTTTTAATAGCAATCACTGTGCAGTATATATCCAAACACAGAATCTGGTTGTTAATGGAGAGTTGGTTCAGAAGACTGTCTAAACCTCCTGACCCTCACCACTTCTTTCCATCCATTTATGTCAATCTCTGTAATGAAAATGAAATTGCTACAAAGTATGAGGGGCACACACACAGTATTAAAGATGCTAAAATACAACAATCCTGCCTCAGCGTGGGGGATGGACTAGCTAACCTCTTGATGTGCCTTCTACCCTACATTTCCATAATTCTATAAACTGGTCCATCAAACAGCAGGATTGAACTTCAAATGAATTCTCATTTCTAGTCAGTATCTCTCCATTCTCCATTAATCAATCAGTCCCAAAATGAAAATAGGAAATAAAAAACTTGATGAAAGGCCACTGTGAAGCAAAACACTGAAATATATTTTGCCCATTCTTTACAAATGCTCAGACTTGCAGGAAGAATTATGAAGAATGCATCTGTACTTAAACACAAGTATTATTAGATCAATCTAAAATAAATCTACCACTTGCTGTTTGAATAAAAGACCCTCAGGATGGATGGAAGAATCTCCATAAACCTGCATATCCCAGAGTCTCACTCTTGCCCTTCAGGTCAATCTTCCATCATTGACTTCCATCCCACACTTAATTCCATTGGTCTCATGAGGACCAAACCTAATGCATTCCTAACAATCAACTATTTCATAATCTATTATTATGTATTATTTATATTGCCATAGTAAGTAGGAGTCCTAGTCATGAACTAGGGCCCCATTGAGCTAGGTATAAACACATTGTTGCATCCCTCTTCTATCCATTTCCCCACCCGCTATTTATTATCACCTAATGCAGTGTTGTGTCTAATTTAGCTTTTAAATTCTTGGGGGATTGATACACAATTGTAAGGTATTGTGATATATTAATAGAGCTCCTCTTAATGGTGTGTCTATAAATATTGCAAGTTACAGGGATATACACATTTATAGTTATTCCAATTTGCAGCTAGTTCTGTAAATAAAGCCTAACAAAGTCATATTTGGCCATAAGGATGTATTTAAAGGATTTGGCTAAATTATCTGGCTTACTGATTTTGGTCTGTCTACTAACTATTGCATAAACACTCCTATTCAGTTGTAAAGACATCACTGGACTTTGGCACAATTCCAGCCTCACTATTTTAAAAACCATTTGGCAGATCCCCACTCCCAAAAGCATCACAGCATTGGCTTAAAAATCAGGAGATTTAAAATAAAAAAAAATACACCTTGTCAGTTTGTGGTCTGATTCTTTGACTCTTAGCAGAAGAGCTTCCTGAACACCATTTTTGTGTGTGCGTGTGCAGATGTCAGCACGAAAATGCACCTGAGACAAACACAAAATGGGAACTCGTTCTGCTGAAACAAATACCAGTTTTCCCTCACTGTCCTGTGCTTGACACCATTTTCCTCACTGAACCCATTCCCTTCCCACCTGGCCCTACCCAGAACCCCCCATCTCCACTTCCCTCAGCCTTTCCAGTTGCTTTTCCCCTTTCTCCTCCCAAACGTGATTCCACACTGCTCCCTAACAGTCCATTGTCACTAGTCTTCCTTCCTGTCTCCCCTCACCTGGGCATATTCCAAAGGCCTACCCACATCCTTCTCCTTCCCCCTATGCAAGCTTCAAAAAACCACAGCAGTTTTCTTCCTCCTACTCAATAGGCTCCATCCTGCTCCCCATTACCTTAGGGCTGTGTCCAATTTCCCCTTGCCCATAGACCTCCTTAATCTTCCACTCCAAAACAGCTGGGTTCATTACCTGCATGTATTCCTGTGATGACTGAGAATCTCATGTTGAAAGACTACATTAGTTTCTTTTTTCAAGTACTGTAACAGATGACACAGGTAGCATCCATTTTCAGCCTTACATGGAGTAAATCTCAGGGACTGGTACATACACTCAGAGCATAATTAAAGCCAAAAGAGAAGAAGAGTCATACAGAGATTATAGCTATTTTCCAAAGACATTTGTCTCCAAAACCCACTGTCATAACAGAACATAAGGAAAACAGCATCCTGCAGAGTCTACCAGTGCATACATGATAGCACTGAAGAATTTAAACCAGCACTGTGAATATGGAGCAGATTTGCCTTGTGCTTTGAGAGATGGTTTAGCATCTGGTCTGCGATATGAAGCCAGGCAGAATCATTTGCTAACAGAGGCTGACCTTATGTATTCCAATATGGAGACTCCTTCAAAAGACACAAAAGAAATGCTGCACGGTCAGAGGGATTTATACATGATTAATGCCTCAGTAGCCAAGTATTGGACTGAATAACCTCGCTTTAAGAGTGGGAGTGGCCGAACAGACCATGTAGCAGATGATTGTCATTTCAAAGGGGAGTTGTGTTGGAAGTACCATGAGAAAGGACATGTACAGTGTATGGATAAAAGTAAATGCAGTTTTGAGAAATTCATCTGAATAAATTAAGCATTTCTGCTGTAGTTCTGGCTGTAAAAAAGAGTGATCCTCTGCCAGTTGAAGTGACACTGGTTGCAACTGTGTAAATAGAGCCAATATGTGTATATTACACAGTAAACCAGTCCCAGAAAAAGATCTGACATAATTTGGGTAGAATTGCAAAGGGCTGGGAATTCTTTAAGCATGTTCATAAAGAACCATGTACCTCAATGGTGCTGCATAAATACCTCAGCTCAGTCCAAACTAGCTTGTATTCAATATACATTTTTTTCTAGACTTTGCTCATGCGTCACTATTTTAAGTATCAGTTCCTCGGAAATGGTTGGATTGCGGTTGAGGATTAGTTACTCCCTTGCTCTCATTGGTGAGCGATTATTCACACAAGTATTCCCGTTTTCTTCAGTGGGATGATTCACGTGAATAACTGTTCAGCAATAGGAGTAATGGAGTCACAATTTGGCCCATTAAAAACATAGATGAACAGGTGCCCCAGATCCCTGCGGAGTTCCACATAAAATACCCTTTTAAGTACATTATAAAGTTATTGCCATTTAGCCTGGTGACCTATTTTACTGTGTTCCTTGTTATTTTGTG